GTGACAAATAAACAATAAAAGCAAGTAGAAGGGCAACGGTACTTCCCTGAAATCGGTGTCATAGCAGTGGGTGAGGCGGAAATGGTGCTTGGTGAAGCGACAACGAGTACAAGAGGTGGTGGCAGCGCTTGGCAGTCGTGCGTGAGGGAGGTGGCGAAGGGAAGAGGCGGCAACAATGGAGGAGGGTTTGGCGAGAGGGAGAGCAGCGAGGTAGGTGCGGCTAGGCAGATGGCGAGTTGGCAGCGCATGGTGCGTCGCGTGGGCTGGGTTGCAGGAGGTCGACGCAAGGTGGTGGCAGCGCTAGGAATTTTGGCCGAAGAAGAAAAGGGAGAAACGGGGAAGAAGAAAGAAAGAAAAGAGGAAGAAAGAAAGAAAATGAAGGAAAGAAAGAAAGAAAAGAAGAAAGAAAAGAGAAAAAGAAAAGAATTTTTTTTTAAGAATTCAGATTTCAAAATCTGAATTTTTGAAAAACAAAATTGAAGGTTAAAAAGGAAAATAATTTTATTTTAATTAAATTTTTTTTTTAATATTTCCTTTGTTTTTGAGTTGTCAAATACAGCGTGGGCATGCCAAGATTATAAAACGTCCACTGACCTCGAGAGGCACTGACACGGCTTGGACACGCCAAGATTGCACTTCATCGAGAGGCACTAACAAGGCATGGGCATGCCAAGATCGCATTTCTTGGTCATAGTAAAGAAAAATAGTAAGACCGGCTACCACCCAAATGAGAAACGACAAAACGAAAGAATTGAACAACGAAAAACAATAAAATCAATATTTGGGTTGCCTCCCAAAAAGCGTATTTCTTTAACGTCTTTGGCTAGACGTTGTCATATTTGTTCAGGGAGGATAAAATCTTGTGGCTCGTTTCAGTGCTTTATTCTCTATATAATCCTGATAGTCCTCATAAATAGAGTAATTCTTGAACACACGAGCTGCGATCTTCCATGAACTAGTAGATGGCGCCAAACCAGTTAACAATAATCTGGATTCTTCACTCACTCCTCCATCACGCGCATTTATTAGTTCAAGATATTTTGCTATTGCCACTTTTAACTTATTCCTGTTATGAAATTCAAAATTTTCTGATATAATAAAGTTAATCTCGTTAATAGGAATTGAAAAATAAGAGTCAAGAGAATATTGATTAAGGAATGGAGAAGATGTCACCGCATTTGGAGATTGTTCATTGGATTCATTCACTTGGAAGAGTTGATATTGGGGTCTCATTTCTTGCACATCTACTTCCTTTTCAACTGCATCTTTAGATCCGTTTTCTTGAAACTCTTGCAGTTCCATGTCATTTGTTCGAATAATTGCACTCTCATTTTCTTTAAGGTCAATGTTGGTCTGTGAGGGCAATTCTTCACACATCTTAGAAGCTAATTGCGTTATCCTGGATGTCAATAGATGCACTTGATCCGCCATCCCAGATGTCAATAGATGCACTTGATCCGCCATCGCTTGTATCTCCTGATGAAATCGATATGTATTAGCAGCTAGTAATTCAATCATTTCTTCAAGAGACATACCGAACATGGGTGATGGCGGTTGAAACTCTTGCTGTTAAAAACCTATTGGCCTGGTTGCATAATTAAAATTGGAATCATCCCACCATCCTCGATCATACCCATTTGAATAAGGGTCATACCACGTTTGATATTGAGGTGAAAAATCTCTAAAAGTATCGATTGGAGCACTTAGGCCATCTTGAAATGCATGGTATATGTTAGTTGAACGATCTGAGGCAAAATAGCTTTCACAATTTGCAACAGCCAATTGATCATTAGAAAAAGCATGAGTCTCATAACCCCTTCTAGAAATAAAATCCAGTCTATCACCAAAATACGAAATGTTAGCATCCATAAACTATATATAAAAAAATAATAAGAGAAAAAAAAGAGAGAAAACAAGATGAACTCAAAAGGAAACAAATTAATCAGGCACCAGTCCCCGACAACGGCGCCAAAAATTGATAGGTGTCGATGCTTGTGCAATAATAATTACCTACTCAAGAAAAATACAAATTTTGTATATAGCGGTGAGTAGAGTCGAATCCACAAGAACTGGGGATAATTCGTTTCTTCTAGAGTTCAGCGCATGGGGGATTTTTGAAAAATATAAAATTACTAATTAACTAACTAGTGAAACAACTAATAAAAATAAATAAGAATTAATCAATAACCAATATGACTCTAGCCAAAGGTGCAACTTTTCAGATACGGTCCATTCAACTGATCATCGATGTAAAAATAATTCAATTACTCATTAATAGATTGGTTATAGTTGTCATACATGCGATAAACAACCAACCTTTCCTTATTTTTTCGATAGCCAAGGTACGACCGTTAACTATTTCTCTAACCAAGAAATAACCCTAGGTATGACCGTAGGATTTAATTCCTTGATTGCATTAAAATTAGAAAAGCCCAACCCTAACTAACAAACACGCTACGAGGGTTTGTTTAATTTAGATCATACGTTTCCCGACCATAAAACCAATCGCGTTAGTCGCCACTGGTATTAATCAATAGAACAATTACGGATTCAATCAATTAATGTGACAGTAGATTATTAGGTTAATTCGAATATCGGGCCCTTGACATTCAAATAACATAACAAGCATAAGCAATTAAATCAGGAAACGTACAAATACCAATGAATAAAAGAAATAAATAAAATTAATTCGATCTCACAGATATTTGGAACTGTACCTTCAAGTTGGCCTTCAACTAGATGAGAAACTTCGTTCATCTACATGGAGGAAATCCCATGCGAAATTGCAGAAGTTATTATAAAAAACAAGCTATGTTCCCCTCGTTCCCTTCGAAGAGACGGAAAAGAAGAAAATAAAATAAAACGAAGGAATTGGACGAAGCCCCAAAAGAACGAAGTTGTTTCTAATCTAAAACAATTGCCTAACTTCTCTCCGTGGTCCCTGCCGGATAAGGAACAATCAACAACAAAAAGCTTCCAGCACTCCCCGAGAGATTCCTTCTTTTTCATTTTGTAGTCCTAGTAGGACTCCTAGTATATGTCAACTCTTTATCCACACAAAGATGGGAGATCCGTTTGTAGCATCCTGTGGAGCCTGGCTTGTAATTACTTTTAGGCACTTCCCACGTGTGGAGTATTTGTCGCAAGAAGATCTCCATTTTTTAGCACTTTTCTGCCCCACTTCCTGAAATTAGATCCAAATACCAAATATAAGTAGATGTTAACAATTAAAGCAATATTTAGCAAGGACAAAGGGGAAATTAACAATAAAATAACTAGTAATTAACACCCTATCAATAAGCAAGTGCTCAAGTCATTCTTTTTTGGCCATAAAAGGGAACAAAGGAGAAAAAATAAAATAATAATTAATATGGATGGGGCACTTTTGCATAAAACATAAAGCAGGGGAGCCAAGTGTCAATTTATCGAGGTGAGAGGCGTAAAATGCAACTCAGGGTATTCAAGGGAGTTTAGTTCTTTTAACCCTAAATGATATTTTTATCGCCAAAATTCTTATACTATCTTTCAAGAGGCAAGGACGGGTTGAATGGTACTTGGGAATCAAGTGTAAGTGAGAGATTTCGGATTTGAATCCTTCAACTTACACTATTAAAAATAAGTGAGAGGTTTCAGATTCGTGTCTTTCAACTTGCACTATTTAAAAAAAAAAAAATCTGTTCATCAATATGAAATCTTATGCAGCGGTTATTGCGAATAATCCTCATAGAATATGATAGCCTAATTAAGACCAATAATGTTTTCAATCCCAACTAAGAAGTATGGCAAGAACAATTTTGTATGGTTAGAACAATTTTATTATTTACCTATCAAATTACAGTAATGCAGTTAAACTATACGCAGCTGCATGATGATCAAATTTCAGTATTAGAGTAGTTCACAAAAAAGTAATACTAGTGTTGAAAATTCGCCAAGCTTAGATGTAGTATTATCTCTTTTTTTTTTTGGATAAATTAGATCTATTATTATCTAGTGACAGATTATGTGGAGAATTAGGCAATTAACATCCTAATTTGTAAACCCACAAATTAAAAATATTTACAGATATTTCACCATTAAGAATAAGTCAACTAACAGCCTAAACTGTAAGCCCACAAATTAAAAACATTTACAGATATTTCACCTAAACTGTAAGCCCACAAATTAAAAACATTTACAGATATTTCACCATTGCAAGGAAAAAGGATTAAGATACAGAAGGCAATTTCATACATGGAAGTGCGTGCATCATTCTTTTAGGTTAAAAAAGAAAATGGAATGGCAACTGCCTAAATATTATTGTAGTTGCCCCAAGAATTAGAGGTTCTAAATTCAAATTTATTTGTCCCTCTTTGTTTCTTAAGTCCCATTCTTTCCCTCGATTTTTTTTTTTTTTGAAATGTCATTGTGATTGCCAAATGATTACACTATCTATATTTAAATACAAGAATGAAATGCATTTTCACCGCAGCCTCCAAGTTGGATGCATTCAATCAATTTAAAACAAAGCGTAGGTAGTAGAACTTTTCAGTTCATCTGTTCAATCAATTTATAATCATACTGTGACTGTTCTCTAGTAGATGCATTAATACTTAGTAATATGATATCCCAATTAAGAATAATAAATTTTCAATCCAGATTAAGTACTATAGCTAGAATAATGTTTTCTTGTCCTGTCAAGTTACATTTCATGTAATTAATTCATAAACAGCTGTATATACAAGATCAATTAATTTCAGTTTTGAAGCAGTTCAAGACAAAGTAATCCACCTTGTGTTGAACGTCTACTCCGTCCAGTTCAGATGTGGTAGATGGATTATTCCGAAGAATGAGTCAATACAGCCCACAAATTTTTATACTGATATTTGTCCGTTAACTCTATGGCTAACTGCTAATTCAAAGATTTTGATTCCCCTTGTCTGGTTCCTGTCTGAATTCTTCCATCAAATCTTTCAAGAAGACACCATACCACAATTACAAAATTACTCCAAAGATTCAAGTATATGGAGGAAGAGGGAATTCAACATTTCAGTCATGATGAGCACCCTCTGATCATGATTGAATTGCAGAAAAACAATGATAATGGTGATGGAGATGATAAGAAAGTAGAAATCTGCTACGGGTGTCAAAAACAAATTTTGGAGCCTACAGCATATTGTTGCTTCAGCTGCAATTTCTTTCTCCACAAACCATGTGCAGAAATTCCTTTGCAGATTACTCATCCAATGCATCCCCAGCATCCATTAGTCCTCCATAAGGAGCCACCTTATTCTTCTGGCAGTTGTACCTGTCATGCTTGTGGCCAAAAGGGTTGGAAGTTTTTCACCTACAATTGTTCCTTGTGCAAATTTGATCTCGATATATCGTGTGCTTCTCAAGATCGGTGAGGCAATATTGATTGAGTCTTCATTATTGATTGCGTTTTAATTCAATTTGTTGTGTTCTTACTTCTTACCAGTATTCACTGTCATTTTTTTTACCTCCTTTTTTTGGGGCCATTGTGGTAACATATAGTAAGTGGCCCTAAAAGATCTCAAAATTTCAATTTTGCCCCATTATTATTTCAAATTGCAATATATAGCCCCTCTTTAACTTTTAAATTTGATGAATCTAATATAGTTTGTCAATTATTCATCATTAAGTTTATCTGAGCTGGCCTTTGTTACCGATGTTAGCCCCCAGGTCAAATTTACTTACACTGACTTCCCCCTATATAAGGTTGACTACCTCCAATAGCTATAGAAATAGGTGCACTTTTTTTTGGCGAGATTTTTTAATGAAAAAAAGGTTAATAAAGATGTTAATTTCAAATTTCATTTTTTGGCAACGCGTTCTAGTTTAGTTTTTTCATAATAGCTTAGTTGATATAAATGGCAGAAAATTCACCAAATGAAGGTGTTGAATAGCATGATCATTTGTGGAACTGCTAATAGATTGCTGTTCACTTTGCTATTCTTTAGGCAATAGATAAGTCAAAGTACTTGATATGATTTTGATTCTAGGATCTTATCTTTAGCAGATTTTTTTCCAGATTTTCTCTAATTCTGTTTTCTTTATGCTATATAAAAGCATGGCTTATGACTCAATAAAATCAGACTTCTGCAATACAAAGTTTTGATTTTCTTATTCTACTTTTTCTACTCTAAAATTCCAACAGAGTGGTACCAGAGCTTTTATCTTGAGGGATTTGTGAGGATTGAGAGAGTTTAAACACTTACCCTTATTACGATGAATCCAGAAGTTTCCTCTACTTATCAACTTGGACCTCCCATATTTGATGGAACAAATTATCAAATGTGGGCTGTCAGAATGGAAGCCTATCTTGGTGGAAATGATTTGTGGGAGGCTGTAGAAGATGATTATGAAGTACTTCCTCTTCCAAACAATCCAACTGTTGCTCAAATGAAACACCATAATGAGAGGAGACAAAGGAAATCGAAAGCCAGAGCAAGTTTATATGCAGTTGTCACATTCACAATCTTTACCAGAATCATGACGTTAAAAACAGCACATGAGATCTGGAATTTCTTGAAGAATGAATATGAAGGAGATGAAAAAATCAAAGGAATGCGAGTGTTGAACTTGATTCGAGAATTTGAGACGCAGAAGATGAAGGAATCAGAAACTATCAAGGCCTATTCCGACAAACTCCTTGACATAGTCAATAAAGTAGACTCCTTGGTACTGATTTTTCTGATTCTAGAATAGTCCAAAAAATTCTAGTTACAATCCCTGAAAAGTATGAGGCTACAATCACGGCCTTGGAAAACTCAAAAGATCTGTCAAGCATCACCTTGGCAGAATTGTTAAATGCACTGCAGGCACAAGAACACAGGAGGCTGATGAGGCAAGAAGGATCGGTGGAAGATGCCTTTCAAGCCATATCACAAAACAACAACAGGGGCAAGAACAAGAAAAACAACAAAAAGATGCCTGGAAATAACAAATCTCAAGTATATCCACTTTGCCCTTATTGCAAAAAAACCAATCATCCGCAGAAAAGGTGTTGGTGGAACCCAAATGTAAGATGTCACAAATGTGGTCAGTTAGGGCATATGGAAAAGATATGCAAGTCTCAACAGCAACAAGGAGAAGCCAAGGCTGCTGAGAATCAACCTCAGGAGGAGCAATTGTTTGCAGCTTCATGTTTTGCTACTAATAGCTCCATGGAAAGCTGGCTTATAGATAGCGGTTCTACAAACCACATGACTTATGATCGAGAGCTTTTCAGGAAGCTTGATAAAACTGCTACAACTAGAGTCCGGATTGGAAATGGAGCTTATCTTGCTGTAAAAGGCATAGGAACAGTGGCAATTGAAGGGTACACAGGTTTGAAATTAATTTCTGATGTTTTATATGTTGCAGAAATTGATCAAAACCTTTTGAATATTCCTCAGTTATTGGAAAAGGATTATAAGGTGCTATTTGAAGACAAAAATTGCATAATTGAAGATCCAGAAGGCAGAGAAATGTTCAGAATTCAAATGAAAGGCAAAAGTTTTGTTTTGGATCTGATGAGAGAGGAGCAAGCGGCTGTACACAAAGAAATTAACGATGCAGTGCTTTGGCATAAGAGATTTTGCCATTTTCATCATGCTGCTCTGATGTTCATGAAGAAAAACAACTTAGTAGAAGGTATGCCTGAATTAGATGAAGAGCTTCCTACATGTGCTGCTTGTCAATATGGGAAGCAATCAAGGCTTCCTTTTCCCCAAAATACAATATGGAGAGCTACACATAAGCTGCAATTAATACATACAGATGTAGGAGGACCTCAAAAAAGGCCATCTTTGAATGGTAGTAAGTTTAATATTCTCTTCATTGATGATTACGCTAGAATGTGTTGGATTTATTTCATGAAATTCAAATCTGAGGTTGCTAACATCTTTTGGAAGTTTAAAGCGTGGGTTGAAAATCAAAACAGTTGCAGCATGCAAGTGATCAGGTCCGATAATGGAACTGAATATACCTCAAAAAAATTCAACAAATTTTGTGAAGAGGCATAGAGCACGAACTGACAGCCCCTTACACCCCCTAGCAAAATGGAGTGGTGGAGCGTAAAAATAGGACGCTTTTGGAGATGACAAAATGCTTGTTGCATGATAAAGGGCTACCAAAGAAATTTTGGGCGGAGGCTATGAATACGGCAATTTTTTTACTAAACAGATTGCCAACGAAAACTCTACAAAAAAAGACGCCATTTGAAGCATGGTATGACTACAAGCCAAAATTGCTTTATCTAAAAACCTTTGGTTGCTTGTGTTACTCTTATATTCCTCAGGTTAAAAGAGACAAGTTAGACAAGAAAGCCGAGCTGGGGATTTTTGTAGGCTATTGCTCATCTTCAAAGGCCTACAGAATATACTCACCACAAAGCAACAAAATAATTGTGAGCAGGGATGTTAAATTCCTTGAGTCAGACACTTGGAGTTGGAAAAATGAAGATAAATTTGAATTGCAGGTAGAGAATGATGATATCGATGAAGAACCTGTTAGAGGAGCCAGATTACTCTCTGACATTTATCAGAGATGTAATGTTGCCGTTATAGAGCCTGCAAGATATAAAGAAGTCGCAACTGATCAGAAATGGATAGTTGCAACGAAGGAGGAGCTCAAAATGATAGACAAAAATCAAACTTGAGAGTTGGTGGACAGGCCTACACACAAAAAGCTGATAGGTGTCAAATGGGTTTATAGAACCAAATTCAACTCTGATGGTTCTGTAAACAAGCACAAGGCAAGACTCGTTGTTAAGGGATATGCTCAAATGTTTGGAGTAGATTTCTCTGAAACGTTTGCTCCAGTTGCCAGATTGGATACCATACGAATATTGTTGGCTCTTGCTGCACAAAAGGGCTGGCTTATACATCAATTAGATGTTAAGTCAGCTTTTCTAAATGGATACCTGGAGGAAGAAATCTTTGTGGAGCAACCTGAAGGATTTGCTGTTCAAGGAAAAGAAAATAAGGTGTATCGTCTAAAAAAGGCATTGTATGGTTTAAAACCGGCACCGAGGTCTTGGTACAGCAGAATTGATGCACACTTGATGAACTTAGGCTTTGAAAAAAGTTTGAGTGAATTTACCTTATATATCAAAAAGGTTGATGGTGAAATACTTGTGATATCTTTATATGTTGATGACCTTCTTATTACAGAAAGCGGCAAGGAGTTGATTGATAAGTTCAAAAAGGAGATGGAAGATGTCTTTGAAATGACTGATATTGGTATGATGTCATTCTTTCTTGGTATGGAGATACAACAGAAGCAAAATGAAGTGTTTATATGCCAGCAAAAGTATGCAAAGGAGGTCTTGAAAAAATTTAACATGGAAGGATGCAAATCAACTGCGACTCCAATGAATCAAAAGGAGAAGTTTTGCAAAGAAGATGGAGCTGAAAAAGTTGATGAAGAGCTGTATAGAAGCTTAATAGGTTGTTTAATGTATTTGACTGCAACCAGGCCAGATATCAAGCAGGTAGTGAGTTTGTTGTCAAGATACATGCACTGTGCTTGTGAAATTCATTTTCAAGCAGCAAAAAGGATTTTGAGATACGTTAAAGGTACTGTTGATTATGGAATAAGGTTCAGTCAAGTTAACAACTTCAATTTTCCTGCTTTTTCTGATAGTGATTGGGCTGGATGTGCTGATGATATGAGGAGCACCTCAAGTTACTATTTTACTTTTGGGTCTGGAATCTTTTCATGGTGTTCAAAGAAGCAGGATGTCATAGCTCAATCCACTGCAGAAGCAGAATATGTAGCTGCCGCTGCTGCTGTGAATCAAGCACTTTGGATAAGAAAATTCATGACTGATCTACACATGAAACAGGAAGATTGCACTTAGATATTTGTTGACAATGAGGCTGCAATTTCTATTTCCAATAATCCAGTGTTCCATGGCAAAGCGAAACATTTCAAGATAAAGCTTTATTTTTTAAGAGAAGTGCAAAAGGAGGGAGAAGTGCAGCTGATTTTCTGCAAAATAGAAGATCAAAGTGCTAATATCTTTACAAAGGCTCTTGCTAAGGAAAGATTTGAGTTCTTGAGGCAAAATCTTGGAGTATGCAGTTCCAAAACCAAGGAGGAGTGTTGAATAGCATGATTTGTGGAACTGCTAACAGATTGCTATTCACTTTGCTATTCTTTAGGCCATAGATAAGTCAAAGTACTTGATATGATTTTGATTCTAGGATCTTATCTTTAGCAGATTTTTTTCCAGATTTTCTCTAATTTTGTTTTCTTTTTGCTGTATAAAAGCATGGCTTATGACTCAATAAAATCAGACTTCTATAATACAAAGTTTTGATTCTCTTGTTCTACTTTTTCTACTCTAAAATTCCAATAGAAGGGCACTTTAATCACATTGGAAGTTAAAGGGGGTTAGTTATGTGATGTAATCAAAAGAATAAGGGATGCAAATTGGCATAAAGGGAAAGTTGAGGGCTTAACTGTATTTTACCCTTATTTATTCATTAACTATAGGTGCCCTTATTTATCTATTTATTTATTATGTTATGTGTTCTTTTTTCTTTTATCTTTTATTTGGTGGCCCTTTTCCCTAAAAAGATAAAGGGTAAATTCCATTTTATCCCCCTATGATTTAGCATTTTTTACATAACCCCCTATGGTTTCAAAAGTTATACATAACCCCCTCATATTTTAAATTAAAGTATTTAAGTAACGGGAATGATCATTCTTAATGGAGTCACCTAAAATGTCAAAAATACCCTTGTATAAAGTTGAAAATTATTTATTAACCAAGGGGAGTTATGTGTATATTTTGAAAATCATAAGGGGGTTATATGGCAAAATATAAAAATCATATGGGGTTAATGTGTCATATATTTATAAGGATAATTTCAACATTTTTAGATATAACCCCCTATGGTTTAGCATTTTTTACATAACCCCCTATGGTTTCAAAAGTTATACATAACCCCCTCATATTTTAAATTAAAGTATTTAAGTAACGGGAATGATCATTCTTAATGGAGTCACCTAAAATGTCAAAAATACCCTTGTATAAAGTTGAAAATTATTTATTAACCAAGGGGAGTTATGTGTATATTTTGAAAATCATAAGGGGGTTATATGGCAAAATATAAAAATCATATGGGGTTAATGTGTCATATATTTATAAGGATAATTTCAACATTTTTAGAATTTCCATTACGAATGATTATTTCCGTCATTTTGACACTTTAATCCAAATATGAGGGGGTTATGCATAACTTTTAAAACCATAGGGGGATTATGTAAAAAATGCTAAACCACAGGGGGTAAAATATAATTTGCACAAAGATAAAAATGGCATCATATCATTTTGATTTTTTAATTTTATTTTCTTGTGGGTTTGCCAGAGAAGGACAATCAGATTTGGGTGATCCAGGCAGAAATCTGGTCAAACTGCCCTCCAATGGTGTAGCTCAAAACTTGATCAAACTTTCTCTTCTTCAGTGCAGCATTACTAGTAGTCTCAGAAAAATAAATACCGAAGAAAAGATAATAGTATCTACACACAATCACCCACTTGCTCTATCCAAGATGGTGCAAACCAAGCATGAGATTAATAGTGCTACTGCTGATCAAGAAGAAGCAACACTATCAATTTGTGACTGGGGTATTGAGCCTATTCTCTTGTCTGATCCTCACTATGCTTGCGCCGAGAGTGATTACTTTCTCCATAAGACTTGGTATCAATTTCCCGATGAACTACAAACCCCAAAACATCCCGAGCATTCGAATACACCGATGACAGTATTGGCTGTTGCTAGCAACTTTAGGTGTCATGCCTGTCTAAAGGAAGGAAGTTGTCTCTACTATGAATGCCAATCCTGTAAATTCTACATTTGTATATCAAGTGCATGAGTGCAAGCTTGACATCAGCTGTTTTGCACAATTCTCATAAGCAACTCTTAACTCAGGTTGAAAACACAAATTGGATAACGTGCAATGCCTGTGGCTTTGACAGAGGTAGTTTTGGATTTGGTTGTGAAGATTGCCATTTTTATTTGGACTATGAGTGATAGGGTGTTAGTTGTTAGTAATTTTATTATTAATTTCCCCTTTTATCCTTGCCAAATATTGTTTTAATTATTAATATTTAATTATATTTGGTATTTGGACTCAATTTCAGGGAATGGAATAGAAAACTACAAAAAATGAGGGATTTTCTGAAGAAAATGGAGACTTCAAACAACCGAGCCCACATGGTGCTACAAACGGATGGCATTTCTTTTTTGCTGATTCGGAGTTGAAGTCTTTGATGGGCGACAGGAAACGAAAAGTAGAGAAAAATTCAGCAGAGCTTTCTTTTTGTACTTGGACCCCCAATTCGTTGGGGACCACAAAGAGCATCAAGGAGTCATACTTTTGCGTAGAATAGAAAAGAAAGTACAGAGGCTAGGGATAGGTAGCCTTTAGCAATAGTTTAGTTTTCTTCCCTTTTCCTTTCGGGCACGCCGATTATTTGACAAAAAGTCCCAACTGGAGAAATATCTTTCACCTCTTGATTATTTAGTGAAAAACCCAATGCCTTTGCAATCAATTAATTTGTGTGGAGATTTATTTATGCAGCGTGGCTAATCTCTTCACCCAGTCAAGGATCAACTCGACGGCGCAGTCCCGAATATCTATGAGATCTAATTAGTTTTCATGCGTTCATTAATTTTTTAATATTTGCACGTTGTTTACTTGAATTTCCTTGGGATTATTTTGTTAATTGGATGTCAAGGGCCCGATGTTCAATGCGACTTATTAATCTCCTGTCAAATTAGTCAATTAAATCCGTAATTGTTTGATTGATTAATATTAGTGGCAACTGGCGTGTTTACACACTAGGGGAACGTGCAATCTAATTTAAATAACCCTCGTAGCATGTTATTGATTGGGGTTACGTTTTCTAGTTTTTAATGCAATTGGAAAATTAATTCCTACGGTCGTACCTAGGAGTATTTTCAGATTAGGGGTAATCGATGGTCGTACTTTGATTATCAATAAATTAAAAAAAAAAAATTGATCGTTAGAGTTCGTCGGCGACTATAACTAGCCTATTAATAAATTAAGTGAACCTCTTTTGCATCAATGATCAGATGAATAGATTGTATTTGAGTAGTTGTATTCTTGATTAGAATTTATCTATTCTTGATTTAATTTCTGCTTATATTCGTGCTAGTTAATTATTTATTTTGAGTTAAATTGCTTAATTGTTTTTAGTTTCATTCTGATAAAATCCCCTTTTACCAATTGGAATCTCAGAGAGACAAATATCCCCAATCCCTGAGGAGACGACCCTGCTTGCCACTGTCTACTTGTTAGTAAAATCTGTCAATTAATTAATTCTGGTATATCGGATTAAGCAAACTCTTCGGGAGTAGGGTGAATCAAGTAACTCATTGCACACCTAGAGTCCCTGGTCTAGTACCTAGAATTGATTATTGACTGCTTTTAGTGGTAGTTAGGTATTTTTATTATTATTGCACAGGTTCGGCACCTGTCAATTTTTGGCGCCGTTGCCGGGGACTGGTGCCTGATTAATTTGTTTCTCTTTGAGTTCATCTTATTTTCTTTCTTTTTTTTTCTCTTATTATTATTATTATTTTTTATATATAGTTTATGGCTGTTAACATTCTGTATTTTGGTGATAGGCTGGATTTTATTTCTCAAAGGGATCATGAGACTCATGCTTTTTCTAATGATCAATTGGACGTTGCAAATTGTGGAAGTTATTTTGTCTCAGATCATTCAACCGACATATATCCCGTATTTCAAGATGGCCTAAGTGCTCCAATCAATACTTTTGGAGATTTTTCATCTCAATATCAAACGTGGTATGACTCTTATTCAAATGGGTATGATCGAGAATGGTGGGATGATTCCAATTTTAATTATGCGACCAGGCCAATGGATTTTCAACAGCAAGAGTCTCAATAACCATCATCCATGCCAGGTCCGTCTCTAGAAGAAATGATGAAGCAGTTAATTGCTAGTCAACAAAAGACGGATTCTGACATACAAAGTATGAGGAATCAACTGGGACAGGTGCAAGTAATGCAGAGTCAGGTGAGTCAGATGGTGATAGCAATTAACCGCTTAGAATCCCAAGTCCAAGGAAGATTTTCATCTCAACCTGAAGTTAACCCAAAGAACATGAGTGCCATGACCCTCAGAAGTGAAAAAGAAATTAAAGGGCCTACGGTTCTGGAGAATAAGAGTTAAGATCAAATTCAAAAAGAAATGGAAGATGAAAGGCGTGAATTGGCATCTACACTGAGCATATTGAATTTTTCAAATTATGAAGAATTGCCCTCACAGACCATCATCGACGTTAAGAAAGATGATGATGTTTTTATCCTGACAAGTGACATGGAGCTACAAGAGTCTCAAGAAAATAGATCTAAAGATGCAATTGAAAAGGAAATTGAAGTGCAAGAAATGAGACCCCAATATCAACTCGTTCAAGTGAATGAATCCGGTGAACAATTTTCAAATGCGGTGACATCTCCTCCATTTTTTAATCAATATTCTCCTGACTCTTATTCTTCAATTCCTATTAATGAGATTGGCTTTATTATACCAAAAAATTTTGAATTTCATGACAGGAATAAGTTAAGAGTAGCGATGGCAAAATATCTTGAACCAATAAATACACGTGATGGAGGAGTGAATGGAGATTCAGATTATTGTTGAGTTGTTTGGCGCCATCTACTAGTCCATGGAAGACCGTAGCTTGTGTGTTCAAGAATTACTCTATTTACGAGAGCTATCAGGATTATATAGAAGATGAAACACTCAAACGAGCCACAAGATTTTATCCTCCCTGAACAAACATGACAATGTCTAGCC